TTCAGATTCTTCACTTTGTCGCATTAAGAAAATTAGCATTTTTCCAATCAGTCTACGTTATGAATAGCAGTCCAATATTTTCAGCAGCGACTCCATTCCGAGCTCCCTCCGGATGTCCGAGCTCCTCGCCCGATCTCTCAGGCTGAGCCAAGCCACCCTGCGAAGGAAGCTCATTTCAGCCACTTGTATCCATGATCATGTTGTTTCGGTCACTACCCAGAGCTCATGACATTAGGTGAGGGTTGGAACATAGATGGACTGGTAAATCGAGAGGTTCGCCCTGGGGCTCAGCTCCCTCTTCACCACAACGGTCCTGTACAGCGCCCGAGTTACTGCTGACGCCGCGCCAAGCCACCTGTCCACCTCACGCTCGATTTTCCCATCACTCGTGAACAAGACCCTGAGATACTTAAACTCCCTCGATTGGGGAAGCTACTTCCCCCCCACCCGGAGGGAGCAATCCACCTGTTTCTGACAGAGAGCCATGGCCTTGGACTTCGAGGTGCTGATCCTCATCCCTGTCGTTTCACACTCGGCTGCAAACCGCTCCAGTGTGTGCTGAAGGCCACGGCCTGATGAAGCCAGCAGGAACGCATCATCTGCAAAAAGCAGAGGCGTGATTCTTCGGTCCCCAAACCGGACACCCTCCTCAGGCTGTGCCTTGAGATCTTGTCCATGAACACCACAAACAGGATCGGGGACAAGGGGCAGGCCTGGTGGAGTCCAGCACCCACTGGGAACATGTCTGACTTTGTGCTGAGACTGTGGACACAGCTCTCACTTTGGTTGTACAGGGACCGAATGGCTCTCATTAGTTGGCCTGGTACCCCATACTCCCTCTGTACCCCCCGCAGAGCCCCTCGGGGGACATGGTTGTAGGCCCTCTCCAGATCCACCAAACACATGTGGACTGGCAGGTCGAACTCCCATGCCCCTACCAACAGCTCCGCAAGGGAAAAGAGTTGGTCCACTGTTCCGTGACCAGGATGGAATCTGCTCGTCCTGAATCCGAGGTTCAACAGCGTTTTCTGCAACATGCAGTCGCAGAGAGGCGACCCTCTCATTCTCCCAGGAGAAGTCCAACAGGGCGGCGCTCAGCCAGGAGCTTGTGAGTAACCCCACACCCGCCTGGTGCCTCTTACCCTGAGCAACNTAAAGACGTATTACCTGAGGCCTTCGCGGCTGCCTGGGACAGGGCACATACTCCACAGCAAACCCATGGGCTCTTGTCCAGTGTATGTGCCTCCAAAACTCAGATCTTTTGACACTGCAAGAGCAACAAGGAAAAACAAAATCCATCAAGCAACTTAGCAGCAAAGTCAAACACAGAAAGCATCACAGTTGATTTCAAGGACAGAACAACAAAGAGGCAAAAGTCATTCACTTTGATGCTTCCAGTGTATTTACATTTACTTTGATATATGTTCAGAATCTTCACTTTGTTGCACTAAATAAAGAAAATAAGCACTTTCCCAATCAATCTACGTTATGAATAGCAGTCCAATATTTTTTTTGCTTTAGCTTCATGTTTGGTCTCCACCAGCTAATAATGGGAAATATTGGACTTTTTAGCCGCTACATAACGAACAGCCTGCTGCACGGATTCCATGTTATAAACAGTGGAGGCACTCTAGCCTTAGCTTGGATCATTGAGTGATGCATTTAAGCATCCACCTATCTATCTTCTGCTTATCCGGGGTCGGGTCGTGGAGGTCGCAGGCGGAGCAGGTCATTCCAGAGACGTACTTTCCCCCCGGCAACAATTTCCAGCTCCCCCTGGGGGAGCTCAAGGCGTTCCCAGGCCAGCCGAGAAATATTATTCCTCCAGCGGGTTCTGGTTCAAAGAGCTGGTCCACTGTTCCATGACCAAGACGGAATCCGCATTCGGCTGGGGCCTCCCGTCCAGCACCCAAGAGTAAGCGTTCCCAGGGAGGCTGAGAAGTGTGATACTCCGGTAGTTGGCACACACCATCCAGTCCCCCTTCTTGAAAATGGGAACCACCACCCCGGTCTGCCACTTCACAGGCACTGTACCCGATGCTCACACAACACTGAAGAGACGTGTCAGTCATGACAGTCCAACAATGTCCAGAGCCTTTAGCATCTCAGGGAGAATCTCGTCCACACCTGGCATTTTGCCACCAAGGAGCTTCTTAACTACCTCTGCGACCTCTACCACGGATATAGACAAAGAGCTCCCAAGACTTCAGGCTTTGCCCACTCAGCAGAGGACATGTTTACCGGGTTCAGGAGTTCCTCGAAGTGCTCCTTCCACCACCCGACAATGTCCCCAGTCTGGGTCTGCAGTTCTCCCCTCCGATTGTACGCAGCCTGGGCAAAGCCCTGCCTCCCCTTCCTGAGGCACCGAACCGTTTGCCAGAACTTCCTCGAGGCCAACCGAAAGCCCTTCTCCAAGGCCTCCCAGAACTCCTCCCACACCCGAGTGTGGCTGCTTCTAGAGACTCCCAAGCCAACCAGGCCCAGAAAGTCTCCTTCTTCAGCCTGATAGATTCCCTCACTGCCCGTGTCCACCAGCAGGTTCTGGGGTTGCCGCCACGACAGGCACCAGTTACCTTCTGCCCGCAGCTCCTAACAGCCACTTCTGCAATGAAGGCTTTGAACCTGGTCCACTCCGACTTCATGTCCCCAACCTCCCCCAGGATGCAAGACAACCTCTTCCGGAGGTGGCAATTGGATACCCCCCGGACAGAGGCCTCCACCAGATGTTCCCAGTTCACCCTCACTGTCCGTTTGGGTTTACCAGGTCTGTACAGCAGCCTTCCCTGCCATCGGATCCAACTCACCACAGGTGGTGATCAGTTGACAGCTCTGCTCCTCTTGTCACCCAAGAGTGCGAGACATACGGCAACCGGTCTGATGACACAACTACAAAGTCCATCATCAAGGCCTAAGGTACTCTGGTACCAGGTACACTTATGAAAAACCGTATATGTATGGTGTTTGTTACCGTATGGTCTTTGTTATGGCCAGTCTATGACTAGCACAGAAGTCCAATAACAAAACTCCACTCGTGTTCAGATCGGGCAGGCCGTTCCTCCCCAATCCCTCCCCTCCAGGTTTCTTCGTCACTGCCCACGTGAGCATTGACGTCCCCTAGAACTATGGAATCCCCAGGCGGCACCCCTTCCAGAACACCCCCCAGAGACTCCAAGAAGGCCAGATACTCTGAACTGCTGTTTCATGCATACGCATAAACAACAGTCAGAGTTTTCCCCTCTGCAACATGCAGTCACAGAGAGGCAACCCTCTTATTCTCCCAGGAGAACTCCAACAGAGCAGCGCTCAGCCAGGGGCTTGTGAGTAACCCCACACCCGCCTGGTGCCTCTTACCCTGAGCAACTCCAGAAAAGGAGAGCGTCTAACCCCTCTCCAGACGTTGGGTTCTGGAACCCTTGCTGTGCGTGGAGGTGAGCCCGACTATATCAAGCCGGTATTGCTCCATCTTCCGCACCAGCTCAGGTTCCTTCCCTGCATTTCAGGATCAAAAAGCTAATTGTTAAAACACCCAAACAAAGGACCGGCTGTATTTGTTTCTCAGTTTTGTGAAAGAGGACCAAACCCCACCGTTGACGGTTCCTCCATGGTCGCTGACGTAGAACCCGAAGGCCTCCCAGTCGTGATTGTCCTCAGAATGGTGGAGGGAGCGAACAGTTACCGGACATGCTGGAGGCAGATTCTCCACCAAAACCTTGAACTTCTCGTCAACCAGAGTCCGAGTGGGGAGGACGGAGAGAATCGGAGTCTGAGACATGACTGATAAAAATCTGTGGAGAAATAAAAACACGACAGGCTGCATCAGCATGGATTAAAAATGTTATTCTGTCAGTGACTTACCGCCAAACCTTCAAAAATGGTTTCATGGTCGGACCAAAGAACACGCATTTTTGTTGTTTTTTACAGAATGTGTTTTACAGAACACTTTCTTTTGGCCAAATTCTTAAACGAGACACACAATAAAGTGGGTTTGATCAAATATCAGGCTTTAATACTTAGATTAGTTAAAAAGTCAGTTTCACGGCTGTCAAAACCTTTGTTCCAGCTGTAAATGCAGTAACAAGGTAAAGTTACAAGTTGCTCTCAATAAGGATAAATTAGATCTCAATACAGATAAAACAAAACACATGATTTTTCTGCAGAAACAGTTAAAACCAACTTTCAGATGGAGGACAGCTTCTACTATGTGCAAGAACAGTATAAAAGGGTGTTTCTGCACCTAGGAAGCAGTAGAACAGAGCATTAGAAAAGATTTAAACCACCACACTTAGACCTGTCAGATCTGGACCAGGCTAACAAAAGAGACGGTTTAAATCTACAGTTGAAACCAGAAGAATTCAAGTCAATTCAAAGGGCTTTACTGTCATTTCAACCACATCCAGCTGTACAGCACACAGTGAAATGAGACAGCGTTTCCCTGATCCAGAGCTAAAGTGTTAGTGGAAAGAATGCAGCGCAAAAAGATAAGATAGAATAAAATAAAATAAGACAAAAAATACAATACAAATAAAAATAGAAATATGGAAACAGGTAGTGCAATATATTAAAAAAAGGCAGGCAGTGCAAACAGAGATCAGGGCTTTGTGACCACTCCATCTGGAAACTGGACCCAAGGAGGAACCAGACTAGTGGAGGTCCACAGTTCTCGTCCTGGTATCTTGGCTGGTTTCTTTAGATGTTCCATGTTGTCACAAAAGGAAGCAGTGTGCTTTTTATATGCTTTTAATGTGGTGGGTTTTGATCTGATGAAAGTTAAAAACAACAACAACAAAAACAGGCTCCAGCTGTGTTTAAACAAAACAAAACAAAACATAACTTCATACCCTCAGTCTAAGTACAGTAGTTTGTTTGTTTGTTTGTTTGTTTTGTTTTTTGTTGTTGTTTTGTCTTTGTGGGGTTTTTTGGTGATTTTTTCTTTAGACCTGATCCTCCTCACCTCCGCTGCGAACCTTCGCGCACGCAGCCTCTCGTGAGCGCGCTCGGTTCGCTGGGGAGCGCGCAGATCAGAAGTTTCGGAGCAGCTCGATCAGAACCGACCGGCACCGCCGACAGTCCCGGTAAGAAGCCGGTAGCGGAGCCGGGTGAAGGCTTACAGTCCGGCTGGACTCGGTGCTGCGTTTCTTCTGTTTCAACAAACGTCATTTTCATTCTAACTTTGCTCAACAGACGCACTTTCTTCTCAGCTGGTGCTGCTGATTTACATCAGATCAAAACCAGCTCGTTAAAAGCATCTGGATGTGGATGAAGTCAGCAAGGATTCAAGGTCTCTTATTGGTCACAAACACAGTTATAAATGGTGTAAGGCACAGTGAAATGCGTTG